CCCCAAAACCCCAAAACCCCAAAACCCCAAAAAAGAAGATAAATTTGTATCAAGAGATATTTTGTATGTAAAAAATATTGAAATTTCACTTTAAAATGAGCGGATAGTAAAGTATCATGAAATTTTTCGGGAGTAAAAATAATACTCCAGCACCTTTACCTAAACAAAGCCCAATTAAAGGTGTCATTTAGTATTAATAATAAAATATAGAGTTAATAACTGAATCAAAGAAAAGAGGGCATTCAGAATTGGAGAGCTTGAGCAGTACAAAGGCAGAGATTAAAACAGAAACTAAAAAAAGAGTAAAAAATCTCATGTTCCTCATTTTATTTACTAGATTTTAAATAATGATGAAGCAAAAGAAATATTAAATACTCCTACCAAGAAAAAGTAAATCTAATAGGTAAATACTGTGGAAAAATTAAAAAAAAATAATATTGAAGAGGAAAAGACATAAGTTTCTGAAACAACAACTAAAGCAAGCAACTTCAGTTCAATTGGTGAAGTCAAAAAGGCGCCAGAAATTGTAATTATAGTAAAAGTTTTAATCAATTAGGAATAGGAAATAGTTGGCGATTGTTTATCAAATTATGAAAACTTTATTGGTGAGTTGGGTGATTGGTAAACTCCTCTATAAAGTTATCTTAAAGGATCTGGATTCAAGCAACTCTATAAGTTTGTTGAGTCAGAGTATAAGAGTTAGACTATATATCCTCCAAAGGAATTAATATTTAATGCTTTCAAACATGTTTCTTTTGAGGATCTTAAAGTTGTGATTGTAGGTTAGGATCCCTATATTAATCTAGGTGAAGCAATGGGACTGTGTTTTTCTATTCCAAAGGGAGTCAAAGTGCCACCTAGTTTGAGGAATATTTACAAGGCTCTTGATAATGATAAGTAGGTTCAGTTTAAGTTCCCAAATCCAATTCATGGGGATTTGACTAATTGGCCAAAATAAGGAGTACTTCTTCTTAATGCAATTCTGACAGTGAGGGAGGGTGTCTCTAACTCTCACCAAAAGAAAGGCTGGGAGTAATTCACTGATAATGTAATAAATGTTATCAATCAGAAAAAAGAAGGAGTAGTCTTCATGCTATGGGGCTCAAAAGCTTAAGAGAAAGCTAAATCTGTTAGTGCATCAAAGTAGGATATTTATTATTTTTTATAAAAATTTCTGTAGACATTTGATTTTGAAATATGCTCATCCTTCACCGTTAGCTGGAGCAGGATTTCCTAATTGCCCTCATTTCTCGTAAGCAAACGAATACTTAACAAGCAAGGGAAAGTAACCTATAAATTGGCAAGTATGAAATAGCTCTATGAAAATTGTCTATTCATATCTTAACAATAATTGACTTTTTTATTTCATTATTTGAGATTTTAGAGTATCGTATGGGGTTTTGGGGTTTTGGGGGAGTCTCCCTATTTTATT